TCTTGCCTGTAGAATCCCATGGACAAAGGAGCCGGCAGGCTACAGTCCAAAGGGTTGCAAAGAGTCAGACACAATTGCATGACTACACACACACACACACAGTGGAAACTCATGAGATGTCATCTATATTATTATTTGCGATTTTTGTTGTGACTATTTTTTTTAATTTTAACCAAATCTGTTTCCCCTCCTCTGTTGTCTTTTTTAAAGTCAGTAAGACAATGATCCAGACAGTCAAAATACCAGAAAATTGGATATTATCCTTGACTGCTTTCATTCTTCCTCTTTACATCCACTCACTCATTATGCTCAAATAATAATATCTATAGGTACTTTCAGATAATTTTCTTTATTTCTACTCTCACTGCCTAGTTCAGGCCTCCATCCATCAACTCCCATCTAGACTGTTAAATAGTTTCCTAAATTATTTCCTGCCTCTAATCTTATTCCCCTGGAACTTGTTTTTCACACTGCAGCCTGTGACCTGTCTACAACACAAATATGATAAAGGCATTCCCTGCTGAAACCTTTCCTGGCCTTCTGAGAGCTGTACAGCATCCAGTCTCCTTAGCATGACCAGAAAGGCCTGTCAGGACCCGGCTGTTGTCTGTCTCTCCTCTAATGAACACAGTGTAACCAAGAGTTAATTCTCTTACTTGCTGCACTTGATGCCCCTCTTTCAAAGGGTTGATCTTCCCCAGATGTTTGGTGGATCTTGCTTTGTTTCATTTTTTTCTTTCTTGTTAATGTTTGCTGTGTAGACCTAAATTAAACATCTTATTTCCACACTCCAATGAGCATGCATGTGTGCTGTCACCTCAGTCATGTCTGACTCTTTGCAACCCTATGGACTGTAGCCCATCAGGCCCCTCTGTCCATGGGATTCTCCAGGCAAGAATACTGGAGTGGGTTACCATGCCCTCCTCCAGGGGATTTTCCTGACCCCAGGATGGAACCCACATCTCTTTTGTCTTCTGCATTGACAGAGTGGGTCTTTACCACTAGCGCCACCTGGGAAGCCCTCAAATGAGACTCTCTGGTTACCTATCAGTGGATTCAAGTTTGTTTGTTTTTTAAACAGAAGGTCCTGCTTTTTTTTTTCTTTTAAACTTATTTTTGGCTGCACTGGATCTTTGCTGCTGCACGTGGCTTTTCTCTGGTTTCAGCAAGCAGACTCAGTAATTGTGGCGCATGGGCTTAATTGCCTCGCAGAATGTGGAATCTTCAAGCCCAGGGATCAAGCCTGTGTCCTCTGCACTGGCAGGTGGCTTCTTAACCACTGGCCCACCAGGGAAGTCCAGTGGGCTTAAGTTTTGATCATGGAAAACTATTTCTGATGATGGCAAGTGAGAGCTGGGTCATGGGGCAACAGGAGCATTCACACTCTGACACTTGGGCATAAAAGACTCTGCACAGAAATAAATTATTAAAGAGAACACAGGTGCCTTTTCTACTCAGGACAGGAATTCAGTCCTGGCACATTGAGATCTGCATCCCTAAACATCGGCTGTCATGCCAGTACCTTCCCTCAAGTCTGTGACCTTGAAATGGAAAAAAAAGCAATCCTGTCCAAAGGCCCTTAACATTTGTTAGCTGTGTTCTGTCAATTTCAGAAATGGGTATTGTTTCAGCAGGGAGGCTTCAAGAGGCAGAAACACTGAAACACTGAAGAGAGAGAAAATACAAAATAATACTTGTAACAAATCCTTCCTCTCAAGGTGAATGCAGTAGATTCTTGCATAATGAAGGATTATTCTCTAAGAGGGCTCAGCATCCATTTTTCTTGCCTGCCTTTGTGAATCTGAAGATTCTTTTACATTAGCTCAACATTTGTAACAATTGTACAGGTGAATAAAATTTCCCAATATTATCATTCATATTACTCTTAAATTTGCATATATATATGTACATGTTTAGACATAATAGGCATGTCACATGATGCTGATTCTATTGACAACCAGATGGATAATAAAAACTAAATATGTGACTAGCTTTTAATGTATTTTATTTTAAAATTATTAGCATTTAAATAAAACTTTTAAAATAAGATTAAATTTCAGTTTTAAAAGTAATTTGATTTGAAAATTCAATATGCATTAACTTAAATTTATAGTTTGTCATTTTAATGATTTAAAACCTTAGAAAAAATAGCATTTGAAACCTTATGTAAGAAATAATTTTCATATTTTCAAACACATTTTCATTAAAATAATTCAAATGTTATACATTTAAAGATATTTACATTTTCAATCCCTCAGATAATAACTGCCAGTAAAGCACCAGTTATGTGAAAATATTGATATAATAATAGTTCGCTGGTATGGTCGGAAAAAGAAATGCTATGGATTAAATACATAATCATTTATTAATTACAGATTTTTTTTTTTTTACACATTTAAGCATGATTGGTCCCTAAACTGACCATCCAGACAGGTGCAATACTTTTAAAGTCAGACATCTTGAATATTTTGCAAACCATGGCTTTGAATATAATACTTAAAAAAATTTTATTATGAAGGAGTATTTGTCAAAGTAGAAAGATGATATATACATAATATACATGCGTGTATGTATGTACTTGTTTATATACAGAGAGAGAGATGAAGAAAGATTGAGGATGATTTTTGGAGGCACCTTCCTCTTACCTGAGGCCTCTACCTATCTTTTGAAATACAACTCTCTTTAGAGAGCAGTGCTCCTGACTTTAATTTAATCTTTCACCCTCCATAGTCTTGGCCAAAGTCTAGAGTTACCTCTGGCACCTCCCTGCTTTGCTCTCTGACCCAAATATCCATGATAATTCTAACCTTAACCATGCCTTGCCACGCTTAGAAAAAACATTCTCAGGCCTTTATTCTGGGAGCAAACTGTTGGCTAGTACATAGGGAGGGGAGGGAGATCCAACAGATCCTGCTGTCCCAAGTCAGACTTTTCAGTAATTCCATTTTGATGTATCCAGGCTCTTTTCTTTTTTTTCTATGTGTGGACAACAGAACTTGAGGTTTCCTTAGGAAAATTCATTCTTACTCTTGAGATATTACTGAAGTGACTTTGTCCTATTTGTGTTTTGCCTATAGTTTCTCCATTTTGTTGCTTTGCTAATGTGATGCTATAAATGTTCTATTTTCCATGAATCCCTCAACTCTTCTATCTGCTGCCTACAGCCCTTCTACATTTCTTGTGTCATTATGAATTACATTTTTAAAAATATCTTTCCTGACATTACAATAGGCGCACACACAGACAGAAAACCATCATGTTTAGTGTATTATCTGAATCCCTGAACATTCACTGACATTTTAAATCTCCTTGCCTGCACTGGGGAGCTTTGGTGATACCAAAATGCTTGCGCTCCCCTCTCACACACTGCCGCGTCGTGCCTCTATGCCTTTAGTCCTGTTATTTTCTCTCTCTCACTCAAATACACTTCCTGCCTTTCTTCCCCTGGTGAACTCACACTTGTCCTTTAAAACTCAACCCAAGTGATCTTTTTCCAGAAAAGAACTAACCAAGCAGATATAAAAATAAATAAGATTTCTGAGACAACATAATTTGAATTAAGCAGCCCCCTCCTCTAACAGCACTTCCCAGGTGGCGCAGTTGGTAAACAATCCACCAGACAATTCAGAAGACACAAGGGAAACGGGTTTGGTCCCTCGATCTGGAAGATCCCCTGGAGGAAGACAACCCACTCCAGTATTCTTGCCTGGAAAATTCCATGGACAGTGGAACCTCATGGGCTACAGTCCATGGGGTTGCGAAGAGTCAGACATGCTTGAGCACGCACGTGCACACACACACACACACACACACACACTTCTCTAACATCTGTCTGTGGTTTATCCTTTCATTGGGGTTGCCAGATACAATATTTGGGAATCACTTATACTAAAATGTGTTCATTGTTTATCTGAAATTCAAATTTCACCAGGCATCCTGCTTTTGTTTTTGTTTTCTAAATCTGGCAACACAACGTATCTCCTCACTTAGTATACTGTATAGACTTTATCTGCTTACATGTGTACCTCTCCCTTAGGTACTGGAAGTTCCCTGCAGGAAGGGACCATATCTTTTTTTTTTTTTTTTTTGGTGGAGAGTTGTGGGCTGGTGGGATAAGAACAATATCTTTTATTTTTTAATCTCCATATCCCTACTGGCTGATAAACTATCTGACACACTAGGTTATTAAATTGGTTAAGCGGCTTTGGTTGCCAGTAATACAAAAAACTCAAGCCCAAGTAAGCAGTGAAGAATTTATTAGAAGAAGAATTTCAGGGCTGGAGGGCTGCTGGCCTCAGGAAGCATGTGGAACTCACAGCTCTCTTACTTCAGTTCTTCTTAACTTCTGGAGTTCCTTTTTCTTTAATTGCCATGGCTTCCTCTGCTACTCACTTCATGTGAAAAATGGCTACACAACACTCCTGAATCGTTTGCTCTCCTCTATTCAAGAAATAGATATGAATTTCTCTTAACTTTAATTCCGATTCCTAGAGAAGAGACTTCGTTCAATCAGCTGAGTCTAGGAAATGAGGGCCATGTAATATTAATCAGAGGGCCCACCAGTGTTGACTCAATGGTTTGACTTTGGAGGAGGTGCAGACACAATTTTTTACTATATAGATGCTACATTAGTCAAGTTCTCCGGAAAACAGAACCCATAGGATATCCATATAACAGACCAGTCTTTTTTTTTTTTTTTAAAGTCATCATGTTACTGAGCCCAAGCTTGTTCTGCTTACCTCACAACAGGCCAATAAATTGGGAGATGAGTTCTCGGAACAAGGAATAATGATTTTAATCAGAAAGCTAGCAGACTGAGAAGTCGGCAGACTAGCCTCTCAAAAAACCAACTTACCTCATGCAGAATTCAGGCTCCTTTTATATACAAGAGGGGGGGGAGGGGGCGCCCCTGTGGCACCGACCAATGGCTGAGCAGGAGCGCTAACGGTCAGTAGTTGACAGTTGCTCACTACTGGTCGCTCTCTTGGGGGAGGGGCCGATGTGAACACCAACCAACGGCAGCCATAATTCGTACCCGCCATAACTGGAGCCCATCTCGCCACCACAGCACCCTGAGCTGAGAGGTTTGACTCCAGAAAGCTGCCAGGTCCGAAGAAGTAACCGCCGCTCCAGCAATGTCATCCTCCAATCCTCAGTGGAGTGCGGCTTGCAGGCGGCAGAGATCATGAAGGGCACGCAGAGGCAGTTGACACCAGGATCACTGCCTGAGGCGGCGGGAACCATGGGCTCAGCCCTTCCCTGGCCCCACCAGTCACCTCACGACCAACAAGGCGGTCTGGGAGCTGGCACCTCCAGAGTGGAGCTCCCGTCTGCCAGTTTGTACAGCGGTGGGTGGTGGGAGCAGTGGCCTAGTAGGCTAGGCGCAACTGGGCTAAGAAAGGGGAGATGGATCAGCCCCAGCCTCAAACAAAGAGCACTAGCCAGTCCAGGAAGGGAAGAAGGAAGGGATCATCACACCTCGGATTTGGGCTGGGGAGCCACCGCTACAATCATGTGCTTTGATTCTCACATCCATTCCATTCCAGCCTTCCTGTTTAGAGTTTCAAAAGAAACAGCACATATCATCAATCTCTCACCATTAAGCATAATGAAAGCTAAGTGCTCAATGATGCAATGTGTTGTCAAAACAGCTCCAGGCATTTTTTTTTAATTGAAGTATAGTTGATTTAAATAGGGTGTACCTTTCAGGTGGAGAAGACCACAATTCAAAAAGATACAGGCACCTTCATGTTCATTGCAGCACTATTTACAATAGCCAAGACATAGAAACAACCTAAATGTCTATTGTAAATAGTCATTGACAGATAGATGGATAAAGATGTGGTATATGTATACAGGAGCTTCCAAGGTGGCGCTAGTGACAAAGAATCCACCTGCTAATGCAGGAGACTTAAGAGAGGAGAATTCGATCCGTGGGTCAGAAAGATCCCCTTGAAGAGGGCATGGCAACCCACTCCAATATTCTTGCCTGGAGAATCCCATAGACAGAGGAGCTTGGCAGGCTACCGTACATAGGGTCGCACAGAGTTGGACACATCTGAAACAACTATACACATGCGTATATATACTTTTTTTTCAACCGGCTTAAACTCTTCTCCATAAAACCATCTTAAAACATGCTATGGGACTTCCCTGGTGGTCAGGTGGTTAAGAATCTGCCTGCCAATGCAGGGTACGTGGGTTCGATCCCTGGTCCAGGAAGGTCTGACATCCTGAAGAGCAACTAAACCCAAGCACCACAACTATTGAAGCTTGAGTGCTCTAGAGCTCTGCAACGAGAGAAGTCACTGCAATGAGAAGTCCATGAACCACAACTAGAGAGTAGCCCCCCAGGTCGCCACAACAGAAAAAGCTCATGCGCAGCAACAAAGACCTGGCACAGTCCCCCCGCCCTCCAAAAACTGCTGTTTTCCTCAGATCTACAAGCATAATGGCTTCTAGAAGAAGCCCTTTGTTTGGGGGTATAGCGTATAGTGTGTTAGTCACTCAGTCGTGTCTGACTCTTTGCAATCCCGTGGACTCTAGCCGTCCAGGCTTCTCTGTCCATGGATTTCTCCAGGCAAGAACACTGGAGTCGATTGCCATTCCCTTCTTCAGGGGATCTTCCCAACCCAGTGATCGAACCTGGGTCTTCTGCATTGCAGTCAGATTCTTTACTATCTGAGCCACCAGGGAAGCCTTGTTTGGCGGTGGCAGGGCTAAAAAAGTTAAGTTAAAGTAAGAGAGAGTTGCTGAGATCAAGATAAGAACTGAGAAAAGGGTCTTTGTCATTATAACTGAATCTGTTCAATAAACATGGATGGCACTAGAATTTTCCTGAACCATCTGGAAAATCTCCTTAATTACACAGCTATATAATTAAGTTTAGGAGGTTACATTGAAACCACTATATTTTAGATAACTGAAGCAATAGGAACTTTATTATGTACGTAACACTAAGAGTTGAGGCTTTCTATGTGATGTTCGTTCAGCATTTCCCAGGCATCTCCAGAGTAGCAGCTCTAACTGGTACATAACAAAATGGGGAAAGGCCAGAGAGTGGTCCCCATTTCCTTTTTTTTTTAATCTTTATTGAATTTGTTAAACTATCGCTTCTGTTTTATATTTTGGTTTTTTGGCTCTGAGACATGTGGGATCTTAGCTCCCTGACCAGGGATTGAACCTGCAACCCCTGCATTGGAAGGCAAAGTCTTAACCACTACCAGGGAGGTAGCCCCCATTTCTTTTTCTATTATCATATCACCTTTTTACCCTACAAAGAAAAATAGTCATCCTAAAACAAAAGTTTTCATAAATGACATAGCATTAGTACTATTTCTGTTATGTCAAAGAATCATGTATATATATATGAAGACCAAATTGTGATTTCACCAGAAACAAAATACATCTGTGATTTTCAGAAGCTAGATAGCTGGGGCGGTGGAGGATCCTGGCTAGTCTGGTTTCAAGCTGGAGCTGGGTTTTCTCCATCTCTGTTTCCAGGCACACGGGGCTGCACAGGGCAGGGAGTCGGCTCAGCAGAACCTTGGATTTGGTTCTAAGGGTCCTGGGTTGAGAAAGGGTGAGCGGAAAAGATCTTGGGATGGTCAGAAGCTAGTCATGGCTGGGAGTGAGAGAGAAGATTCCAGGAGGAAGAGGGCTTCCAGTCTGAAGGGGGCAAGAAAAGGTGTGAAAGTCGCCTGAGAGCATCGGGTAGGCGGCAGGCAGGTCACTGTCACTGGTCTGTTTGGGAAGCACAAGCTTATGGGGAGAGCCAGCGAGGGGGACGTAGGGGAGTCCAGGGTGCTTCCGGATGATCAGGAAGACTTAAGCCAAAGGGACTTCGCACAGCTGTAGAGAACTGGGGAGAGAAATTTTTAAGGTCAGTGCAGCCAAGAGCCAGGAGCCAAAGGGTGCAGGCAGTGTGGGTCGGGCTTAGGCGTGGCTGCCCGGTACTAGGTGGGAGATACTGATTTGGAATTTTATAGTCTTGCCCTCCTTGGGGAGAATCACAGAAGGAAGGAGCCAGGATGGCCTGGGCTCTGCAGCTGCCTCTGGTGGATGAGGTGACTGAATATGGCTGGTGTAGGACTTTGTTGCTAGTCTTTCCTGGATCCACCAGGAACTGGGTGCTGGTGCCTGTAGCAGAGGTGAAGGAGACCCTGAACCTTCTAAATAACAAAGGTAGGGTACAGAATAAGGGGGTATAAAAAAAGGTGTAAAGAGTTAGGTTTTTTTCTGCATCTAGGGAAGAGGAACTTGTTTCTTTTGTTGTTTTGAGTATTGTGGGAGAAATGGAATAAACAGCTAGTAGGCAGTGTCAAGAAGAATGACTCGTAATTAGCAACCAGATGAGTGTTGACTGTTGTGTGTTGTGGGTGACTTGGAGACTCTTAATATGTGCGTATGTGGGTAGTTTGCACTGGACTAAAGAAGAGGCCACATTGAGCTTGTAGGTGGTAGGGAATTGGGCTTGATGATGAATATTGGTTGACTGCTTAGGAGGAAACGTGAGACTTCCGAGACGAAATCCACACAACTGCAGCTTTACTCAATACAGGGTTTCTGATTTTTGAAACATAAGCAGCTAAATGAAAAAGTGTCAGGAATAACTTTTAGATGCTTCTAGACCTTCATGTGTTAAGCCAAATGTTGATAATACCTAAAAATCTATTTTGAAAGAAAAGAAGAGGAAGAAACTAAACAATTAAAGGATAAAAGTATATAGATTATATAGAATTTTCCCTCAAAGTACAATAAGTGGGGGAGAAAAAAGATCAGAGAACCAAAGAAGGTTGTAAAATGAGTTGAATGGCTCTTTCCAGAGAACAGTTAATGCAATATTGTTTGATTGTCCCTGCTCTTTCACTAGTGCATACTGTGAGAGTCAGAATTGGAATATTAAGGTCTAAGATGTGAAATACTAACTCTGGGTGGTAAAAGGGGATTTGGGCTCAGGGGTGGGAGGTCAGTGCCGGGTCAGTATGCATCTGAATCAAGTTCACACTGGTTGTGATCTTCTGACAAAGAGCAGGCCTGAAGGAAGAAAGAAGTAAGATAAGGCAAAGATGATATGATATGAGCTGTGAAATTTGGAGGTGAGACAGAGGCAAGAGGGAATAAATCAGCAAGAATGGCTTAAAAAATCCTTTCTTACTCCAGTTTTTGCGGAGTGTTTTCATGAAATTACTACAGAAGGGGCAAGGCACACAGTTCAGTATCAGCGGTGGTTCCTGCTCTCACCGACCTCTACCCTGTTGTCACCCGTCCACAAGCAGGTTGTGCCTGGGGCCTTTGAAAAGGTAACTGAACCCAGCTGGACAAGGGGCCTGGAGGAAAAGCAGTCTTAATCGAGGGCAGTTCGTGGAACTCTGTCTGCACACATCAGCACTTCAAAGAAGGGCTAGGCAGAGCATGCCGTCGTCCTGCTGAGGTGAAACTAATTTTTTCTGTCTACTTGTTTCTCTTCTAAGCATTCTGTTTCTGATTTAATTCTTGGCTTTAAAAAAATAATGAATTGTAAAGCTTTGCCTTTCTCTTAATTCTACCCAATTCCCTATTTTTATCTATCAGAAGGCTTTATGGTAGTGTGCAGCACAGAAAAAAAAAAAGATAAATCAACCTATGGTGGGTTAGCAATATATCAGGTATTTATCATATCTGGTACTCTAAAGAGCAGTTGTCCCCCTTCCCAGGTGGCTCAGCTGGTAAAGAATCCGCCTGCAGTGCAGGAGACCGGGGTTTGATCCCTGGGTGGGGAAGATCCCCTGGAGAAGGAAATGGCAACCCACTCCAGTCTTCTTGCCGGGAGCATCCCATGAACAGAAATGCCTGGCGGGCTGCAGTCCATGGGGTCGCAAAAGAGTCGGACATGACTTAGCGAATAAACCACCATAAAGAGCAGTTTGTTGTTGCAGAACATGCCAATCCATTACCTTTATCCTTCTGACATTTTGAGGCCCAACTTCAAAATTTAAGAAAAAAATTGTGTAATTATTTTACAAAGTATTATGTGCAGGGTGAATGTAAGGTTGATGCTTAATAATAAAATTAGTACCTATGAACTCACTACCTACTTTTAAGAATAAAGGACCATGACTATCGTATCAAACTGACTAAATTATCAAAACAGTTTTCACAAATCATGCTTTTGGTGTTGTATCTCAAGCCCATAACCAAACCAAAGGGGACCTAGATTTTCTTCTGTCTTCTAGAAGCTTTATGGATTTGTGTTTTACATTAGGCCTATGATTAATTTGGAGTTAATCTCTGTGAAAAGAGTAAAAACTGTGTCTAGATTTTTTTTCTTTTGCATGTAGATGTCCAATTGTTGTAGCACCACTTGTTGAAAAGATTGTTCTTTTTCCATTGAATTGCCTTTGTTACTTTCTCAGTGATCACTTGACTACATTTTTGTGGTTCTACTTCTGGACTCTCTTTTCCGTTCCACAGATGAGTTTGTCTATTCTTTCACCAGTGTCATACTGACTTAATCACTACGGCTTTATAGTATTCTTCAAGTTGGGTAGTATCAGTCTTCCAACTGTGTTCTCCAGTTTTGGGTTGGCTATGCTGGGGATTTTCTCTTTTCATATAAAATTTAGAATCTCTTTGTTGATATCCACAAAATAACTTGCTGAAATTTTAATTTGGGATTGAATCTATCGGTCAAATAGGAGACAACTGATCCCTTAACAATTTTTAGTCTTCCTATCCATGGACACGGAATAGCTTTCTATCTATATAGATCTTTGACTTCTTTCATTGGAGCCTCACAGTTCTCCTCATGTAGATCTCATACATATTTTATTAGGTTTATGCCTGAGTATTTGTTTCTGGGGGCCACTAATTCAAACGGTGTTGCTGTATCTGAAATTAATATAGCGAATCCACTTGGCTTTGGTTAGTATTTTCATGGCATATCTTTCTCCATTCTTTTATGTTTAATTTAGCTGTCTTTATATTTAAATTAGATATCTTATAAATAACGTATAGTTGGCTGTCTTTTTTTTGGTGTTTTAAAGGCCAGATTTGGAGGTGATGGCCAGTGCTATCATTCATTCCATTCCACTGCGTAGAAGGCAACCATGTGCTGTGTCTCACTGCAAGGGCAGCTGGGAAGTGCAGTCCAGCTGTGTTGCCAGGAAGCAGGCAGGTACAGGTTGTGATATGTGTCTGTGTCACAAAGGGTTGCACACATGTGTGAGAATATTCTGGAAGGAAGTGAGGTCAGCAAGGGCTTGGTCTTTTATACTGAAGTCATCTTTTTGTTTAAAAAATGTGTTACAAAACTCTGCACCTCCCCTGTGTAGTGTCAGCGTCTCCAGATAAGGCTAGAATGATCTATTTTGCCCACCTGTTCTAGTTGCTTCTGGAGGTGGTGTGGCAGAGTGAAAAAACATTGGAGTCAAGTGTCCTTGGGTTCACATCTCCAGTTTGCCATTTACTAACCCTGTGAATTTGAGCAAATCACCTAAGCTCTTGGAGTCTCGGTTTCTTTATTGTTAAATGGGGGGCAGAAAGAAACTAGGTTAAGCAGTCAACATTTATGGAGGTGCTCCAATGTGACGCGTTCTGTGGCCCATTGGGAAATAGTGGAGATCTGCTAGTGTTGGAGGGTTTCCTGTGAAGATGTGGGTCGCAGTGGCTCACCGTGGGGGTGGGGGCACTGGCAGCAGCAGTCCTGGGAGGTGCCCCCTGGTCTGAGCCCTCGTTGAGTTTGTAATTCACTCTGACGGTTGCTGATTTTCACATTGTTCAGTCTTTTCCTTGTTTTGAGGACAGGCGTGACAGCTTCCACACTCTACATGTTGGACCGGAAACCACCCACCACCTCTTTTTGTACAACCTGTGAGCTAAAAACAGTTTTTACATTCTTAAAATGGTTGAGAGAAGTCAAAAGAATATTATTTCATGACAAGTGAGAAATACATGAAAATCAAATTTTAGCATCCCTAATTTTATTGGAGCACAGCCATGCTCATTTATTTACTGACTGTTTATGGCTGCTTTCATGCTACAGAGTTAAGTAGTTTTGACAGAGACCTTATGGCCCACAATGCCTAAAATATTTATTATCTGGATCTCTCAAAATGTATTTATATTTTCCATTTCTTTTTCTCTCTGTGCTACACTTTGGGTAATTTTGTCATACCAATTCATTTCGATCTCTTTAGCTGTATCTAAACTGCTGGTTTAGCCATCATTTCTTTTCTTCAACAACTGTATTTTTAATTCCTAACATTTTATTCTTTTCCAAGTCTCTGCAGCAGGTTTTGATCATTTCTTCTTGGTCACTCGTTTTTGTAGTACTGTTTCTTAAACACTTCTTACATATTTATCTTATATACTATATCTGATTTCCATTATTTGAATTTTTTGAGGTCTAAATCTGATGTTTTCTGCTTCTGCTATCAATGCTGGTTTGTTTCCTTTTGTATTTGTTGACCTTTCACTGTGATCTTATATTAGGGGCTTCCCTGGTGGCTCAGATGGTAAAGACCCTGCCTGCAATGCAGGAGACCCAGGTTCGATCTCTGGGTTGGGAAGATCCCCTGGAGAAGGAAACGGCACCCCATTCCAGTATTCTTGCCTAGAGAATTCCATGGAAAGAGGAGCCTGAGGGGGGCTACAGTCAATGGAGTCACAAAGAATCGGACACGACTGAGTGACTAACACTCTATTTGGTAGATACAGTCTGTGGTCCTATGTGGTCTTGTCCAGAATATGGATGAGTTTGCTCTGCTGAAAGCCAGAGAGATGACTCTGAGCTGGAGCACTAGAGCCTTCTTCTAGTTTATCTTGTTTAATCTGAATCTTGTTTAGTTCTTCAGGCTTTCTTTGTTGACCTGAGACATTTTTTTCTCAATTCCAGCAACAGTATTAGAAATGCAACTGGTAGCCAACCTTAGGCTTATCTATCTTTATTGTTTACATGCTTTTCAATCTTTCTTTTTAGCTCAGTTCTTTTTTATTCTTCTGGCTCATGGGAATTCCTTGTAATCTCAGCAGTATAATACATTTTTTTCTGTGCAGTCTAGATGTTTTGTAACAGGAGGGTTTCCTGGCCATTTAATCTGCCATACTGCCAGAGCAGGAGTCCTATCCAATTCTTTCTTCTTCACTGAGATATAACTTTGCCCCCTGTTGCTGGTTTAGCTCCTTCTCAGGACCAGGTAAGGGAATCATTTCTACACTTCTATTGTCGCCTTTTCTTTGTTGCACCCCTATGCCTGTCCCTGTCTTTAGTACTCACTTTATTCCTTTGATAGATAACCAAACTTTGAGTCAGTGGTGATGGTACCTTCTCTTTGACTAAAGAACAGCTGTACTTTGGTTTCTTGCCAAGGATAGGATTTGGCTGTGGCTCTTTTCAAGCATCTTGGGTCTTGTTCTGCTTCCTCCCATTTCTCAGCACATACAACCTCTCTTCCCTTCCCTAACCCATTGAAACATGCTCTCTTTGTTGACATGGTTTAATTTTTACTTACTGATGTCTTTATTTCAGTTCTCTCCCGTGGAATCACAGTGTTCTTTCTTGTTCCTTGGGTCTCCAGAATATGGCTTAAAGCTAAGTGCTTTTCATCCTTTCTTCATATCACTGCCCACATACTGTTCTGTCATTTTTAGATTGATTAGTTACTTCTGCAGCTAATGCCATCAGTTACAAATGGCTTTAGATGCAGAGATAAGGCAGATGAAAATGCCTTGTAAACTGTAAAGCCCTGTACAATGCTAAGGGCTGTTTAAGGCTGAGAGATACAGTATAATTTAGGTTTCAGCTGAGGCAACTATTCCTGAATTTGATTATGCAGAAAAAAGTCTTAAAGGCTTCTGGAGCTGAAAAATAGTCTGTACAGGAACAGAAGTTTGAGTCTTTCAAGGGGGAAATGGAACATCCTATTTAGAAGCTGTTGTGGATTCAATTCTTCCTCTGTTTAAATACAGCAAATCCATTTTTATCAAAGACTGAGGACAAAAGAACCACTGAGGTGTCCTTTGACTTAGACTTCCAATGGTTTCCATCTCTCTCAGTTTGTAAAACTGTGCACAGAGGCATAGAAGACAGTGATAGCATCCAGGAAACATGATGGGGAAGAGTACAAGAAATTAGTGCCAGTGGACAGGATGTCACAGATCTTCCAGAAGGTGATGTTAATTCAGAAGGATGAATTAACCATGTCAGCCAGGCTGTGGTTTCAAGAGTAAAACTGGGAAGAGGCAGGTTTCTGATATGTGTGTCTGAGGAGGAGGAACTAGGAGACTTTAAAATATTGCAGAAAAAGTACTGGATTAGGATTCTGGAGATGGTTTTTTTGATGAAAAAAAAAAAAAGTGATGGTTGAATTGTCACATAATGAAACCAGCTCCTTGTTCAGGATCAGGTTGCTTTCCAACTCAAATCCTGTGACTCTCTGGTCATTATCAGTTGACATGGTTTTGTTCAAGTTGAAAAAAGTAGGCCTTATTTAATGTTTTTGGTTTATCTGAATTCCCTGCTTAAATTAAAACATGGTTCTGATCCCCTTGTTTCTGTATTCCTGATGTGTGCAGGTAGCTACTGAAATTGATGTAGCAAAGAGAAAACACACACATCTTCCCTTTTCCCTAGGAACTAACTCTGTTTTTTCTGTTGTATATACTCAAGTCCTAAAACAGCCCAACAGAAGCCCAACATGCCAGGATTTCCAGTTTTGTTTCTAAGGCACGTGATAACATGGGACTTTGTCCCTTCTGTTTCCCACACTTTTCAGACACCCCAGCATAAGGAATTCCAGAACTTTTTGATAGTACTCTTTGCACAACAAAATATAATAGTAATTCCTAGTGTTATAAACATTCCAGAATATTTTAAGAAACTGTTCTGTCTTTCAGTCTTCAAGTCCCAGATTTAAGGGCACAACAGAAAGCTTGCTCTTTGCATTCTGTGGATCACTGCAACTTCCTGCTGTTAATGGTATTTCGGTTAAATTCTGACTGACTCCTGGCTGATTAATTCTAAGTAAGCAGGGCAGGGATTCTCATTTGTATCCCAAGGCATGACCTACCATTTAATCTTTCCATTTTCTTTCATGATATCTGGATTGTAGTCTAGATTGGATTCAGGTGCTCCCCAGCTTCCGAGATCCTAGATGAATCCACTGGCTATTCAAGTTTGAGTCGTGCCCACCCAGGCAGTCTCCTGCATTCAATGCATAGCCCCCTAAAGCTCTCTGGATCAGAATCTCTCCTTGTACAGCTCTCCAATAGCAAGGCTTTATCTTCCCTTCATTTCCATTTTTGCCTCGAAGAATCTATCCTTAAGTCTTCCAAATATGGCTTCAGAAGAAAAAAATCACTTAGGAGCCTGTCCTCAGAATTTAATTCTCCTAATTAAAACTTATTTCCCTCCCTACTAGACTGTAAGCTTCTTCATGCTGATAAAAATCTATGTCTTTTTCTATCTGGACTCTAGCACTTACACCTTATCCGACATGTAGTAATCACTTCCTGCTTATTCAAAGAGTGACTGAATGAATAAATGAACAACTACTTCTCTTAATGAACATGGAGTGAATCGAGAACAAAGGAGGCAGTTACCAGTATTGAGAAATAACCTACTGGCTTCAAGCTCCTTATGAGGAAGACGACTTGGTGTTTTCTCGGTGTACAGATCCTTCTTCCTTACCTGGCGTGGCTTCTGCAAGTGATCAGACACGGCAAGTTCTTTTGCTTCCTAAAGTGGCAAACACTCACAAGTGGTCAAAAAACTTTTTGCTTAACGTTCCCCAGATCCCAAATGAATGGTAAGGCATATGATGTTTTGAATTTTTTTTCAAACTTCCCCCTTAACTTAAGCACGTTTTTAGAAATATAATGTAGGAGCATAAGACAATAGTAAGAAACCATCCACAAGGCTGAACTCTTAAAAAAAAAATCATTTTATTGATCCTTTACCATACAAAATTTATTCAAATTACACCCATTTGAAGTGGTAAGATCACAGCTAGAGAACAGGTTACCCTGTAACAAATCTATTTACAAAATCCATCATAAAAGCTTTTTTTTTTTTTTACATTATATTACATATTTTCTTTTTTAAACTAGCATACAACACAAAGCTAAACTGATTAGTAGTTTGCATACTCCCAATTCTGGGAGAAATACTTCCTTTTGACAAAATCTCGTACCCCACAGGAAAAGAAATTCCCACAATCGGACAGTTGCCACCCGACTCACTCTGCAAGGCATCTTCCTTCAAATCCCTCATTTCGTACACACAAGTTGTCATGCACACACTGAGTTCTTACTTTCTTTTTCCTGAAAGCTAAAGCTTTAAATACTGCAATTGTATTTACAGATCTACACTTACAACAAAAATGAACACAAGAACCACCACAACAAGAACAACAACAAGAAAAAAAACAAAATAACACTCTTAAAAAATTACAAACCAGCTAGAAAATATTCTGGCAGTGTTTACAAATTAATTGCTATTTTTGTACAAAATTGCTAGATAATGAAAATATGAGGAGACTGCGTATCAACTTAAATAAAATGATTACTACGCACAAATCTGTACATATAAACACACACCTAACACTGTTTGACAGCTCATGTGTTGCTCTTTATACAATTTACTCTCTAAGGCTCACGCAGTCATAATTCGCACACTTGTAACTTTTAGCCATTTCATGTGTGAGCTTTAATAGCAGCAACTCAATGGTACCAGGAAACCTGCATACTCAGTACTTAAAGTAACACAAATACTGTAGTACTAACCCACTTCGTGTGCCAGAAACTTCTGTCAAAAAGAAAAATGACTAATGCAAACAGAATACAGTATGGACGTCTAATTACTGTACACCAGTTAAGCCCATTAACTGGGAAAGCCTTATGCATGAAGGAACTTTTAAGACTTAATAGGATTCCTTTCATTTTTTAAAACAATAAATACGGCATCACGTTACGAAAAAGTTTAACAAGAAACTCAACCAAACACACAACCACCTAGCCAGGTGAGCTCAGTCTTTAGACTTTGGAAAAAAATCAGCTTTGTGCAGCTGGCAAAGAGAATGACACAAAGCTGGAAGCAGAGGCAGCTAACCAGATGAGATAAATATGGGAAATAGGGAAAAGCTTGGCATAAATGGTTTCCCATACAGGAAAAAAACCCCACAGTGCATTTCCAGTAGGCACTTGACACAAAGCTCCCCCTCCCTCCCCCACCCAATGCTTCATCTCGGACCAAGTCCAGTGTGTGTCCAGGGGAGGAGGGTGGGGATGGAGGCCGAAGAAAAAGGAGGATAAACTGCACCTTTGTTTTTCTTCTCAAACATACACCCATGCATACCTACACAAATAGTTTAAAGTGCTGGTGTCATTTGTGTTGACCCCACCACCACTTTGCATATTGTGGAAATCTACCTAGAGTAAATTGGCTGGGGCTTCCGTGGGTTTTGTTTTGTACTTTTCCTAAGGGATATAAGTAAGGAATATTCCGTAAGATGGTATGGAAAAGCCCAAATGAACTTTTTGGTCAACCCAGTATTTCTTTTTTCCCATTCCGTTGAACCGAGTGCCTACCACACGCCTCCCACTGTGTCAGGCAGAACAGCAATTCAACTCAACCGTTCTTGGTGTTGAGGTTTAATTTATTTATTAGATGACTCCTCATTCCCACAGTCATTAGCATCCAAGGAATGGACGTGAGGTACTCTGCCACATTCCCAGTGGGAGATGGCCATCTGCCCCCTGGCCAATGGGAAAGCCATTCTTGGACTCAACTGGTAGGATTTTGCTGCTATCAGGAAGCCTCCGACTTGGGACGCTATTCCCGAAGAGTTCAGTGCGAGATGCCCTGGCATCCTGCCCTGCCTTTTTTCTACAGCCCCAGCTTTCCTTGGTCCAACCTTCTCCTTCACAGTGGAAGGGGGAACAGGGGTTCTGGCCAGGACTCCTGTAGCCCCCGACACAGTGGGAGCTCCCTGCTCTCAACGGCTGAAGCAAAGTGCCACTGATAGCATGCTACTCATGACGGGGGATGTCCTTCTACCCAGAGGCCTCTCCATCCGACCCCATCCTGAGAAGTGGTCTCCCTGAGTGCAGTGTAAGAGCCCTTTCCCCGGTCACAGGGGGCCTGGGAAGCCCAAGGGACGGAGGGATCCATCCATACCTGCTGCTCTTGGGGTCTGACCTGGTTCTCTCCAATGGGCCGCCCCGCTGTCAGCGAGCTCCACTCGCTCCAAGCACCCCCTCCTGGGGAAGGAAGCGAGATGGGGCAAAGCTTCTCACCAAGGCTATTAAGCCTTAGATCACACATGCTCTGATCAGTAGAGGTTCTCTACCTCTGCTTAAAATAATTTGAATTAGCAAAAACTGCTTCAAAGTAAACAATTAAATTGAAATGGTTGATGGGTGCCACAGGAATGCTTAAATGGCAGCTAAAAAAAGGAAAAAAAAAAAAAACAATCCACAAAGAACTCCTAAGTAGGCATTTGCTATAAACTTCAAACTTACAAATACGTTGGGGGCAAGAGAGTGGGAGTGGTTTATGGAGACAGGATAATCCACAACAGCTTAGAGGGGCAGAACTCGACTGTTCTTCTGTATCTGCGATGAATATTGGAGAACAGTTTCTTCATCCGAAAGGCTGTGGAATATCTCTTGGCCTCCAAGTGGGACACGCGGTCCATAGCTTAAACTGAATTATGACAGTAATTTAAATATTCCTAAGAAGAGCTGAAGAAATCCATTTCATACTTTTGCATGACTTCAAGTTTACAGTTCCTGCAGTTTCCATCCCAAATTAGCAGACCCCAAAGACATGCATTCTGCGGAGAAGGCACGGCTTGAAATGCTATTAAGGAAGATTGCTGTTTTCGAGTGGGCCAGGTGGCCAGACCCCATTCTACAGCCCATCCGTCAGGCACAGCAAGCCAATCCGGGAGGGAGGGAGGGAGGAAGAGGATGGGTGAGAGACACCTGATTGCACATTTTCTCACTTGCTGACTCATCCAGGAGATTTTGGAGCCTGGGGCAAGGCAGGGCTTTCCCAAGGGAGCCTGCAACTGTGCGTTGATAGACAGTTTTGTTTTTTTTAATTCATTAAAATGTCAGCTTTGTTCTGAAGTCTGTAGTTTACTTCATGATACTATCTTGGAGGAAGAAGGGAGGAAGGGACAACACTGCATGACACATGTTCTGGTTCCATAATAAAAAAATATTGGTTTATAAGGGGAGTTCACACAAAGCATAATCAACTACACATAAAGTCTTCCACCAGCGGGAGCTTTTCCAAATCGTAAGCATCAAAGAGATCACTGATGCCTTCTTCCTCCCCGAGGCTTAGGAGATAGTCTTCTTGGAGCAGGGGAGGCAGTAAGTTCACAAATGGTCCTTCTAGGTTGGAAGGAATTTGGTCCTCAGTCTGCTGTAAAAGGTTGGCCGGGGAGGCCAGAGGAGAAAGGTTTGCCATAGAAATTGAGCAATCACTATGTCCTGAGTTGGTTGAAGCCAAGTCTGAGAAGAAAGAAAAAGGTGGTGGAAATAAGAAAATAAGTCAGGCGAAAATCTAATTTGGAGGAAGCATATACATGTTGCTGTTATAGACGCATGCACTCTTTTGTTAAGGGCAATCAGACAACTTGATGACATTGTTGTTGTTTACCCTGTAAGTCACGTCTGACTTGTGTCTCCATGGACTGTAGCCTGCCAGGCTCCTCTGTCCATGGGATTTCTCAGGCAAGAATACTGGAGTGGGTTGCCACTTCCTTCTCCAGGGGAACTTCGCACCCCAGGGATGGAACCCATGTCTCCTGTATTGGCAGGCAGATTCTTTACCACTGAGCCACTAGTGAAGCCTGACATTATGGTATAGATCACCTCCTATACTAATGGGCATTGTTAAGTAGGGACTCTGGTCAGCCTTTTTTTGTTCTTGTCTACTCACTCATCTTTTAAAATATCAACTGTTAGCAAACAAGAATACAGGTAGCTTCAAAGATTAGAGACTAACAAGTTCAAAAACAAGTTCCTGATACCAGTTAGTCATCCTTTAGGAAAAACAAAAGAAAACAAAACACGCAGACTGAAAAGTTGGCTCCCAAGTAGAGATCACTGATTTTAACTTAGTCTTTTTTTGAACAACTAGCTTATTAAAGATAATTCTAAAAATACAAATAAAAGGACACATCCACTTTGAAGTTCTAGGGTGGGGGAAAAAGTGGTCTTTGGTTTTACCATTTGAGGTACCTTTTTTTTTTTTGCTCAATATTGAGTCAGATCTGGTTATTTAAATCACTTCTTGCTGCTATCTTGGGAGGGAGAAAAAAATTAAGTACATATCTCCAATCTGAGACAACAAAAAGACTACAAAGAGCTTCCTTTGCTGTGGAGACAATGAAGGGAGGAATTAGATTTATTTTTTCTTCTCCTCCCTTATTCTCTCCCCACTACACTGGGGGGGAAAATTAAGATAAAAGTTCTTGGGCAAAAGGCTTCCTTCTCCCAACTTTTTTCCAGTTCCCTCTCCAATGATCTCTGTGATATCACTCAGAGGTATGCGGCCAAGTATAGCTGGTAATTCAACTGGATAGCTCACACCTTTACTCTTCACTTTGATTTTCCAAAACACTGCAAAGAAATGGTTTCTGCTGATAGCAAAAGCCTGAGGGGACTCCATTTAGTGGGTGGAGGAGCCGTTTGCCCAAGATCATTATTTTCTTCTGCAAACTATTTGGAATGTTTTTTTTTTTAATGTAACATTAATGATAGAAATTTTTGTTTCTTGCCAAGACTTGTGATTCTGATAAAGG